GCGCTGCATATCCACTGAGTCACTCCACACCAGCTCATCAGACGGTTTACATTGCGGTACTCTGGTTACAGTGTTTGTCTATCACTCTAATCAGTCCGGTCCAGCTCAGCTGGTCACCTGACGAATCTTGCCGCCCATTTTCCAACTCCTAAATTTTGCTGAGAAAGCAATGAAAATGGCTGCCTGAACGCTGGCACTGGAAACTCAGGGAAAGCGAAAGAGAAAGCCCCTTCTGTTGCACCTGTAAGTTCAGAGGATTTGTGACACAGAAACAAGGTGGCATTCAGGGCGGCTCATGTTACGACGCAGGAGTGTCGGTTTTCCAAGCAGACAACTAAAATTATCATTATTTTCAAGGTTTTATTCAGGATGTAAAACGATAACCGACACGATGAAAGGATTCATTTGAATATTTCCGTTTTCTGGTTCCTTTTTGGAGAGGCGTGCGTTGTTAAACCAGCGGAGCCGCTTCCTGTGCCGTAGAAAACTTTTCCATTCAGGCAAAGTTGGTTGTCGGTACGCCCGCAGTGAAAGGCGATGATTGTGTCCATGAAGGAAACACAAAGCCACTGTTTCCACAAAAATAAACCTGCAGCATGTTTTTAGCTGCAGCAGGTACTGTCATCGTCTGTCCTAATTACTTTATCACTAAAGGAGTGACTAGTTACTAGGCAATAGCACCTTCGCTACTCGAGGCACAAGAAGCAAATTCAATTTTTTTTTTAATTCTGCAGATTTGTGATGATAAACATGTAGTTTATTTCCATATTTAGAAGTATTTATTAAGATACAGATAGAAGTGATGGTAAAAAAGTATTGTTAGCCAATTTTATTGCACTATTAACACCATTAAATTGACAAAAGAAGGCAAAAGTTACAAAGAGAGGCCGTAATCTGTACATCTTAATAATAAACTGCTTTTTAACATCAAGGGTTAAATATATTTCCTCTTAAAGAAATGATTACAGAAAGATACTCACTGATGTGAAGTAATTTGCACAGTTCTAATGCTACATTGTTTTGAGAATTAGATATTCTATTAAAATGTGTTTCACTAAATAATTAACCGGGCTGCAGCAATATTTAAAATTATTCTCCATCATAAAATGTACTGAAAACAACAAGCATGTGGAAAGAAACTGTTTGGACAGCAATAAATGTTAGTTAAATATGTAAGCTATCAGGTCGTATGCAAGTCATATATTTAGTAACTCTTGTTGCTTAAATGGCAGATAGGATGTAGGAGAGGCATGGCAGGGGTAACTTTGTTTAGGAAAATTATTTCAGATGGAAATCTAAATTTTCCCATCAATAGTTGGATACACGCCTTACTTGAAAATACATGTCCCGTTTGATTGTTGCAATAACAAACAGAGACATCATAAGTGGTATTATTTAAGCTTTTGGTTGTGTTCCTGGATAATTAACAAAACTTGCAGTTAATTTGCAAAACGAAAGTTTATCAGTCCTTGTGTTACTTTGCTATTATCAATACCTTAACTTGAAAATGGTCTCAAAATGACAATATTATCATTTACATCAGTCAGGAAGGGGACGATTTATTGTCCAGCAAAATGTGTTATTGTGACAGGTTTAATTAACACTGTCTACTTGTGTGTTTATCTCTAAGTCTCGGAGTTGTTGCTACATACACCAATATCCTCCAGCCCTAAACATGACCCGCAAATTCCTGCATTAATGTGTAATTGAAGGTTCTGCTGTTGAGTGGATCATTCCTGCTGGGAAACACTTAACATGATCGAACACGTTCTGATTCTTTGGAGCTTTTTCATGTTTAAAGTTTGCAACTGAGTCGGCCAACTAATTTGCTCCTCTAAGTATCTGGATGGTAAATGAAACCTGACAGAAGCACGGTCATATTTACTCTAAACTCCCTGTTTGTTGAGGAGCTTAAAGAAACTTGTTTTTCCATTTCTAAGTAGCAGTTAAAGTCTTCAAATCATAATGTATCCCAACAATTGACAAAACCGTTTCAAGTAATAAACGGTCAACAAAAAAAAAAAAAAAAAAAAAAAGAGAAGAAAAATAAATAAATAAAAAAATTAAAAAAGGACCAGATTTACAAGAATGTCAGCCCCTGGGCTGGAAACCATTTGGTGCCCTATTCACAAAAAAATAATTATTTTTACTAATGCAAATTACTAGGGCTGTCTCAATAAGCAATAAATCATTTAATAGTTTAATCAATTAAAATGAGCTTAATAATTCCTATTTGCACAATGTATTATTTTTCTCTTTTCTCTTCCTCTTTCTACCAAAATCTAGATGAGAAAAGTCTTCAATATGGTGCATTGGTCTCAACTAGACCATTTTTTTGAAGGGCCATTTGGTTTACAGAAACGTCATAATTCGTTTTACTTGTTGTTTTGTTTATTTATTCTGAATATTTAAAATGTCTTCCAGTTCCAGGGTTAAATATCCATCAGAATTTAAAGTTTCTTGATTGTTCAGAATGTGTTCTTGCATTTTTATCCCATTACCATTATATCATTTAAAAATGGTCTCAAAACAACAGTATTATGGCTTACTGCGATCATTTCTGATCAGCAAAATTAGTTATCATAGCAGGCCTACAAGTAACACTACATTAATAGATTAAACTATACGCAATTGGATATGAACCGATGATACAAACTGATGGTGGAAGGTTTAATATTGTAACTTAAAAATTTTAAGACATTTTAAAACACCCGAGTATATTCATATGAGTCTTATATGAAGCATAATGTCAGCAAAAAATGCATTTATGAATGAAAATAAATAAGAAAAACATGTACAGGCCACTCCCAAAAATATGGGCCGTGAGCTGCTGCCTGTTATTTAAAGTTTGGCTCAGCACAGATTGGTGTCACCTTATATCACTTTGATACTGTCATCATATCCTTTAAAACAGCCTTTTGCATTTCAGTTGCAGTGTTTTTCTGTAAGATTAGGATGATTATAAAAGGAGTTGGATTAGGCTGATAACAAGATGCTACACATTTCAGATCCAGCCTTTTTTTCTTTTTCTTTTTTTGTTATCCAGTTCGACACAAAACAATCCAAGCCAAGTCCAGAGCTCGCTGTGTTTGCACGCACTCCGTTCCCCAAAACAGGAAACGTTAAACTCGTCGAGATAAGGGTTGCACAGAACGAGCTCGCAAAACGAAACAAGACTGCAGGCCACAAAATCCACAAAGCCACGTCGTTGAAACCAAGATTGGAAAACCGCCTCATACGGCGCAGAAAATGTCGTCTCTCTCACTTTATCTCCGACTTGTACCAAACGCACATATCCGATTTTGCAACAGAGCAGTTTATCTGCACAGAGCTGAGACTCTGCTCTGTCTCTCTCTCTATCTCTCTTTCTACTTGCACGCAAAGAGCTAAAACTTCCTCTGCTTGAATAAGAAAAAAACAACAACTTTGTTTCACAACAGGGTGGCAACTTGGCAGAGAAAAAGGAATTGTGAAGAACTTTTACCCCAACAGATTTAACACGAATCAGCAGAACCCGCTCTGCTCTGAAAGGTTGAATCATTTCTCTTTTGCAAGCATTACATCACAAAAGGCGTTCCTCGCTGTGTTTTTTTGGAAGGTGAAACGCGTGAATCTGAAAATAAAAAAACAATAAAAAAACGAACACCTCAGGAGAAACTGTCACACTCTGGAGCTGCACTCACATGTGAGTGAGCCCGGCCCACTACAGGAAGCCGATCAGAACTCACACAGTTTTTACTGCCGACACGTTTTTCACCAGCTGTGGAAAGGAAAGCGTTCCCTTCTGAAACTGTCAGGAGATTAGATAGAACAACAAAACACAGAGTGAGGTGTCCAAGGGAGTGAGAGTTGATGTGATGACAAGAACTTCCTCTGCTTATCCGTTTGCTTTTACAGTGCTGACACAGTTAAGATAGCAATGCAGGCCCAATACATAAGAACTCAAATACCTAAATCATTTGTCCTATTCATTAAAAGTACTTCAGGAACTCCTACTATTTTAAAGTCACATGAAACCACTTTGATGGACTTTGTAAAGACAGCAATTTAGTCAGAATACGGTTAGGGACGCATGCTACTACTGTACCAATTGTTAACATAATAAAAACTAGTTTTAAAAGCTTTCCACCAACATAAAGTTATAAGTTCAATCTCTTTTAACAATGCGCTTAGGAGAAGCAAGACTCCTAAATCTAATTCTCCTCAGGTCTCCACAAAACCCTGCAACAGGATAAAGCAGGACTGAAAAAGTAGATTCTCAAGAGAACTCATTACAATAAAAATGACAATATTTCAATTTGAAATACACTCATTTGAGAGCGTTGAAGATTTCTAGTTTTAAACCGCTATAACACGTTTTTTTTTCTGAAATAAGGTGACTCGGCGGTTTACAATACTTGAATATCGCGATATTTAAGCCAAATTGCACACGCAAACACCTAAACCTACGTGGTAGAAGAGGCGAAACTTATTCCCTACTATTATTTTTCGTTCATTTTATGATTTATAATTTTTAAAAACAACAGTTATGTGCGTTATTTAAGTTTTGGTTCCCAAACAGAGCGCGAGGAAAAAGAAACTCAACTGCGCTCGCGCTTCAACCGACAGGAATCCAACTCCAGGCCGACGTCGAGTTCAACCGTGGAGATTATTACGAGTTTATTTCATTTTGGCAACAAATCCTTGTACCTAAAGAGTGGGAAGCGAAACGAAATGGAGCGAAAACTGACGAGGACATAAAACGTGCCTTTAATGGCCGTTACTGTTGAAGTCCAATAAAACGCTAAAAGCCAAATCAGGAAGTAACGTCCGGCCGAATTCCGAATTTCTAAACGTTTTAATGCCACGCAAAACACGACATTTTTATTTTTATTTTTTTAATGGCAAGTTACACATGAACATAAACTACTTTGCAGCGCTTCGGACGACAGCCAACAGGCTGAAAACCAGTTTAGTTTTCGCTCTTTCCGTTCTGCTTCAAAAGCCATTTTCAACCTCACCGTTTCGTCCTCGGGGATCAGAGTTTCAGCATCTTTCTTCACGTCTTTCTGAGCCAAAGCGGTATTGAACGACACTTTCACCATCCTGAAACCGTCGGCAGCAGATTCCCAGAGGCGAACAACGACGAAGGAAATGGTTGAGAGGGACAAAAAGATATCAGAAGTTGCTCCGAAGTGAAGTCGGTTCACTTCCTATTCGGCCAAGTCTGGTATGTTGTGAAAACAAAGCCGCGGAGGTCATCAAGGTAGCATACGGAGCTCCTGCGCAACTTCCGCTAGGCTTTCCAAAATAAAACGAGTTGGGTCGATCCTGTTCTTTTTTTTTTGGAAGATTGTTAAATAAAACTAAGCGAACAAAATACAGTTGAAGATTTTTAAATTCAAGATTGCTTTAAGACAATTGATGGTACAATAAGCTAAAAAGAAATATAGAAAATGGTGGGAAAAAAAATCATAATCTGAACAAAAACATAAAACCGAAAGTTTAAGGAAAAAATATGTGCCTATTCTGTATATTAAATTCCAACTTAAGTTTTTTCTTTCTTTTTTCTTTGGAAAACATACACTGCATTGAAGATTAATGTGAGGCAGATATTAATTTATTCTGGCAATGAAATAGGTGGAAGAATGAAAAAAAGCAAAAACATATATAGAGCTATTTAAGAGAATCTACTTTTATGCCAAGCTGCCAACAGGGAGAAAATGCAAATTATAATGATTGGAACATGAGGCAATTTTGTTCCAATATTAGCATATTGATGTGTTATTGTCAGCTTTAATGTTTAGTTTTATTCTTGCTCATGTCTAAATACAGTATCATAATATATAACATAATATATAACATAAATAAGTTGACTTAGACAATGTCTTATTCTTACTGGCTGGATGTATGTCATTTTTCTTTCTTCTTTTCAAAGGGAATAATAATAATAATAATAATAATAATAATAATAATAATAATAATAATAATAATAATAATAATAATAATAATAATAATAATAATAATAATAATAATAATAATAATAATAATAATAATAATAATAATAATAATGGCAGTGTAAGCCAATTATGCAGAAGCCACGAAAAAATTGGAGCAGTGAAAATAAACACAGCTGTTACCACCAATAAATATTTTCGGATTAATACGTATGAGGCTTTTTTTTATTTTTTTTTTTCAAAATGCCAATTTATTTTTGTATAAAGCTGAAATATACAGAGGACATGCTTGATAAACAGGGACATTTGAAATTACAGTGATGAAAACTATTAGATAACACGTATGATAAAAAAAATGGAGGTGCGCACAACCCATTTCTCACAAAGTTGTGTTTTTATGAACTTCCTGCAGAAAGATTCTCCGTCTGGCTTTTTTGTTGTTTTGTTCCATTCGTGCTTTTATTTACACGAACCGGAAACCCCGTGGTCGTCGAAATGCGAGCTTTACTTGATCTGTTGTCGAGCAGAAACACAACTTCACAGACGAGACGGGCTGTTGTCGGCGGTCCGTACTGCGCATGCGGGTTAGTTGCCCCCTTTGGGTTCAGCTGAGGATTTACATCAGCTTCAAGTACGTCTGCTGGGACGATCACAACATTAGGTTTGAAAGGCAACCTGCAATTTGGACACTCGTTCACAAAATAAACTTTGCTTTCACTTTTCCAGCGAGGCTTCGGTCGTAAATCGCCCCAAACACTCATCCACACACACTGCCTGCCTCTGTGGATGCCCAATCTGCTTCACTTTGATTTGATTTGATTTTATTTTGTTGTTGTTGGATTAACATGCTTAGAAATGAGCTAGACGTGCAATATTTTAATGAAGCAAATCATTTCAGATGGAAGTGTGAATTATTGTAGTTTGAAACCGAAGACATAGATTTTGCACATTTGCTTTATTAAAAGAAGCAGATTCTTTTGGACTCAATTGAAAAAAACAACAACATAAATTTACTGTTGTACCAAAAAGAAAAACTGTTTAAGTTGTATATAATAAGATCATACAGCCTATTTCAGTTTCGAGCTGTTTCCAATGATTCTCGATTTAACTCTGTTTTCTTTTCTCACTTCTTCTTTTTTATTTTATTTTGAATGCTGAGTTTGCAACCAGCAACGCAAAAAAATGTGAACGCGTGCGTTTTTATCCTCCGGTGTTTTGCCCCTCCTGTCGTACCTGAAATTCTCAGCCCCCAGAGATATCTCTCTCTCTCTCTCTCTGTGTGTGTGTGTGTGTGTGTGTGTGTGTGTGTGTGTGTGTGTGTGTGTGTGTGTGTGTGTGTGTGTGTGTGTGTGTGTGTGTGTGTAACAGCAGACCAGAGAGCAGCCTCATTTGACTTGCAAACATGGCTCCAATGACAAAGTCTGACACGTCGGTAAGATGAGACTCAGACGGTGAAGAGACGAGACTATTGAGCAACTGCAACAGTTGACTCAACAGAAATGGAAAGCAAGATATTTTCAGTTTCTAACTGATTGCAACATCTCACTCGCAGGATGGGATTATGTTTTAAAGAACCTCAGACCTAAACTAACTGTCAGCTTTTTGTTGCAACGGTTCATATTGTTTGAAAATATCTTGTCGATTGATAAGATTTATTACAAACAGCCACTGGTTGTAAAAACGTCATTTTCGAGCAGAAATAGGGTCAGAACACCTGGATTTAAAAAAAGAAAAATCTATAGTTTTTTTTATCCTTTTTATCGTGGGGGACACACGTGCTTAGAATCGATGTATTGGATTAGGGAATTATCGCAAATAAAGAATAAATCGACTTCATCGCTTTGGAAACAAAACCGAATGGGGCACAAAACCTTTAACAGTCACGTGACATGTGGTATCCATGAATGGTGACGATATGCACAACTAGACATTTAATTCTACAAAAAAGTATTTTTTTAACAGTCGTTAATTTAGATTCTCCGCGGACGTTTTATTACTTTGACTTTTCTTTGTTGTGTCAATAATTAAAAAATAGAAGCAAATATTCTACCAGTTTATAAAAGTTATAATGACATAAAAAAAGAATTACAGTAAATCTTAGTGACAGGGCCTAAAATGGAAGTATTTATAATTGTACTATATTATATATTATATGTTATATAAGTATTATTAAACAGCTTCTATAGTGTATAATTACATTTTAACTCATATGTGTTGCTTTGATAAATAAATAAAATCAATTTTTTTTGTTAAGACAACCCCCACCCCCCAAAAACTAAGTATTCAAATACTATAGTTATTGAGCAGTGGGCGGTCGCCTGCTCCTGATTGGTTCAGCTGTTCATTGGTGACGTCATCCTTGAGTAGCATACGCAAACCCTGAATCACACGTCACCGAGTGACGTCATTGACCGCCTGGTTCAGCTGTTCATTGGTGACGTCATTATTGAGTAGCATACGCAAACCCTGAATCATACGTCACTGAGTGACGTCATTGACCGCCTGAACAAAGTGCTTGAATGTCGGCCCTCTGCCCTCATTTGGTCACTAACGATTTTCTTCGTCTTAAAGGTAAATACGTTAAAAATACTAAAGCCATTGGAGATAGGATCCTGTCTTAAATGGCGAAATGATTGTTTTATCTTGTATCGACATGCAGGATGAAATGATCATTTATAGTCCATTTTTTTATAGTCCATTTTATTTTTTAGTTTGCGATAATTTAGTAACTTTATTTTTTGTCTTAGTCGCGTCAATATTTATAAATGCAAAAAAACAAAAAATATTCTACTTCTTGGATTCGGTTTCTGGTGTTTTCCAGTGAAGCCACAAGGCTTCACCGGTTGTCCACCAGATGGCGCCAGTTTCCGGTGAAGCCTTGCTTGTGGCTTCACTGGAAAACACCAGAAACCGAATCCAACAAGTAGAATATTTTTTGGTTTTTTGCATTCATAAATATTGACGCAACGAAGACAAAAAAAATCTGGTGGACAACCGGTGAAGCCTTGTGGCTTCACTGGAAAACAACAGAAACCCCGAATCCAACAAGTAGACCTGGAGAGGTGTACAGTCTCTGGCGACATCTGGTGTTTTCCAGTGAAGCCACCATCATCCCTTAAAGAGAGCAGATATAATATCTGGAATCACACAGAGACAGAAGCCACAAGGCTTCACCGGGAACTGGAGTCATCTGGTTCACAACCGGTGAAACCTTGTGGCGATGAAGCCTTGTTGGATTCAAAAACCCCGAATCCATTCGGTTTCTGGTGTTTTCCAGTGAAGCCACAAGGCTTCACCGGTTGTCCACCAGATGGCGCCAGTTTCCGGTGAAGCCTTGCTTGTGGCTTCACTGGAAAACACCAGAAACCGAATCCAACAAGTAGAATATTTTTTGGTTTTTTTGCATTTATAAATATTGACGCGACTAAGACAAAAAAATAAAGTTACTAAATTATCGCAAAACTAAAAAATAAAACGGACTATAAAAAAATGGACTATAAATGATCATTTCATCCTGCATGTCGATACAAGATAAAACAATCATTTCGCCATTTAAGACAGGATCCTATCTCCAATGGCTTTAGTATTTTTAACGTATTTACCTTTAAGACGAAGAAAATCGTTAGTGACCAAATGAGGGCAGAGGGCCGACATTCAAGCACTTTGTTCAGGCGGTCAATGACGTCACTCAGTGACGTATGATTCAGGGTTTGCGTATGCTACTCAATAATGACGTCACCAATGAACAGCTGAACCAGGCGGTCAATGACGTCACTCGGTGACGTGTGATTCAGGGTTTGCGTATGCTATTCAATAATGACGTCACCAATGAACAGCTGAACCAATCAGGAGCAGGCTTAGTTGTTGTTTTTTTGTTTTTTGTTTTATTTTTTATTATTAAACACTTTGACCGATTTTACAATTCTGTCATACTTACATGAAGAAATAAAGTCTTACTGGGTTGAGGCACATATCATTATAAGACAATAATATATATATTAAAAAAAAAAAAAAAAAAACATTAAGACCTGCAGGTGGCGCGCCGAGGACACAGCCACCAAGAAGAATCGGCTGCGCCTCCGTGGACGGAGGAGCCGGAGCTTCACGGACGGAGGTCCCGGCAGCGGCGGCCTGGCTCCCCGGGTGAGGCAGGCGGGAAGGAGCACTAGGGGGGGACCCCCGCTGGGCGCCATCACTGTTTGGAAGGACGGGATGACTCCGGACTTGATAGGGAGTCACCCCGGTCCTGCACAACTTTTAACTGTGATGGTTTCACTCTTGTTCTTATCTGCTTTAGTTTAATTTAACTAACGAAAGTGTATTTTAA